TTCTAAAAACATAGCTGCAAAACACCTTTACTCAGGTATAAGTAAATAAGTTAATGATTTATCAATATCCATTGTAACTTTCTTTTTTGTGTTGTAATTGTGTTGTTTGTGCGTGTGTTTGTGCTGTGTTGTGATACGGAAATAGATATTTTGGATTTAAGTATGGAAAATTAGTTTTAATATCAGTTTGCTTTATAATAGAATATAATAGCTAGTTGGACATTGTTTTAAGTACAATATTACAATATAGTTCATCATTTTCTAACATGATAAATTGCACATTTACACTAAATAATGTTACATACGTCTTAAGTGATTTAAATATGTTGACAGAGTTTTATTTTTCACTCGATTTAAATATTATTTTTAATTTTATAAGTTAATGTTATTTTAAAATCTCGATTAAAAAAATATATTCTCAGGCATATCACCAAATCTAAATATCTGCCTATTGTTAAACTCTATAACCGCGTGTCTGTTCAACATAGTATGTTGACAAAGACAAATTTTGAGACAATTTCTGCTCACAAGTGTGACTGACTTGGAGATAATGGAATCGTCAAGCTGCCGTTGCAGGTGTGAAAAGAAAACATATTGCTTTATCTAAAATATTAAAAACCTAATTACTCTAGTGAATTATTTTGTTTCGACTGATGATTCTAAGCTGCGTAAAAATGTATAAAAATATCCCATGAAAACATTTAATTGTATAACAAAACTAATTTAAACCAAAATTAAACATCTGGATTGTGTTGCTTTTACAAATTAGATTAAATGTTTTATGGCATAGGCTATGTATATTTTAAACTTGTGTCTTCATTTGTACCCGAAATAAATACATTTTTACAAAATTGAAAGTGATTACTATAACAACTAGGATTATTTCATATTACAACTACTTTATCAACCTATTAAAATTAAAAACTATGAAAGTTAATCAGTGTTTAATATTGTAACATAAAAATTGTTTTGTATTAAAGCAAAACCGTTGTCCAATAAACTGATCCCAGGCAGAAATCTAGTTACATAAAATATTATTCTTTCAGGATACAACTAATTGTAAAAATAAAGTTAGTTACAAATTTACGAAAAACACCCTCTTATTGTTTGCAGATCTGTCTAATAAAAAGTGTAATCATTGTAAGAAAGTGTTTATGACTGCCTGATTAAAATCAACATGTTAAAATTACAGACGTTTTATTAAATATTTTACTAACTATTTAGTGTAAATTAGTAAGGAAAAAATAAACATTTCTGCTACACAAGACTGTACTTGTACAATCTCTAGAGGAAGTTGATCTAGTTATAATCAATTTAATCAGTCTCCATCAAAATGCATGTAAACCTTGAGTCCACAACCGTGGTTTATTGGATTATGAATGAATAATAATGGGTGACTTAACTAAGGGAATCGCTCTACCCCGTAGTCGTCAAAACTACATTTAGACTATAAACCTAAAAAAATTGGTATTTTTGTGTAATTCTGTCGTATATTTTAACGTAATTATACACTGTATTACGTAAGAATATATTCAGCTAATAAAATCTGTAATTTACTCAATTAACAGTTTGATAGAGAAGAATTGCTAGGAAAAAAATTATTTTATAATTTAACACTAAGAACTGAAATTCAAATAATAAATAAATGTATCATTTATGTGTAGATGCTAAATGGAAATGCAAATATCAATGTTCTTATTAAACTCAAGTTATATAGTTTAAAGTACTAAGACCTTGAAACTCATATCTTATATCATATATCCCATGAAGCAGTCTCTCTAAAATTTCGTTCTTGCTATTTAAATGGGTTTAAAAAAGCTGATATGTTGCATCTGTACATTGGTTGTGAAAACTGTTACAATGCTACAAAAGTAAAATACGGGGTTTTAGGAAAGGACGTTCATTGATGAGAACAACGCATATTTTATAGATACCGTGAACTGAACTTCATTCAATTAAAATCATCACTCAAAAGTATTATCAAAATAACAATTAGCCTTTGTTGGATTAACCATTTAAATTATGGTTTGTATATGTAACAAAAAATTAAATAGAGTATTGCTTGACTCACATATTGACGTTTCTCCCTTCTAAACATTTCCTCTTACATCTATTTTATTATATCATTAATTTTTTTTCAACGGCCAATCTTTGTAACTGATAAATTTTATGAGACTTGATATTTGTTATGGAATATAATTATAATTTTATTAAATATTTACACCTATGTAAAAGAATTACTTACCCTGTGATGGACTTGGTGTAACCTATCCATTCAACTTCATTCATTTTACCTATACAGATTCAATTTGATAGTTTTTGCCATTTAGTTGTTTATTCTACATACATAATGATGTAGATGTAACAAAATGTTTGATCTTACCGTGTTGGCACCAGCTAGTATTTTCAGTTAGTTCAGGTAGTATGTCATCACGTCGCGAACTGTCACAAAGCCAGTGTTTGCGGCAGTCCATCGTTCATTTACTGTTTGTGCTGGATACACGTTTATGATTGATAACTGGAGAAAAGTTATATTTTTACCCACCAAAAGTGACCGTTGCAAACTCTAAAGTCAATGATACATGGTTTGCGATTTGATGAATATAGAAAAGTATATTGTTAAGCTGTGAACTATTCGAGATATAGTTTTTAGCAGATTCGTCTACTAAAATTAATTTCATAATGATGATTTTAAAATTAAAAAGTCAATTCAAAAGATGAAACTGGCTGGTACGTTTTCTCAGTGAATTGTGTAGAAGATTGGATCCCACAAAAGTGTAAATTTAACGAATAACAATTACTTATTTTTGCTTGGTAATATTTTTACTACAAATAAAACACGAATAATATTAGGGTAGTAAGCTGACCTTATACTACAAGAAATTAAAACCTATATCAATATAATTTAACAACGCTAAAAGGCACTTACAGAGGAATAAGGAATATTTTAGTAGTTATGAGAACGCAAGCTTTTGACATCACTACTACTCGTCTCTTGAGAAAAAACAAGCGTTTTACATAGCTTACTTAAAAAACTATAGTAATATCGCAGTTGGAACTTTGAGTCTACTACGGGTTGTTCTTTTTAAAACACAACCCAACAAGAGACTCTTTAACGATAAAAACGAGATTCTAATATGTTTCTATCACTGTAGTCTTTCCTCATTGTCAGCCCAGGATTGTTTTTTACATTACTTCAGGCTAGACCTAGGGGTTGCCATCAATCTCTATTAATAATAGAGATCGATGGGGGTTGCAGGACTATCACTTAGATAAAATCTATTGGTGATTTGGCGGGATTTGAACCCGGGACCTCAGGGACCGAAGTCCCGCGCTCTACCACTAGACCAGCTCGCTCCCCTCGTATAATAAAACCTGAAGTCTATCACGTGAAGATTGATAAATACTTTTTTACATTAAATGTTTGTTTTTACGAGATCAAATATGAAATATCTTTAAACACCAATCAACTTAAGAGGTTTCAGTTTATAAAAGAGAATATCGGAGGCTTGCTTTAGAGAGGATGCCTTTTAGAAGGCTAATTAAAAATAAAAATTAAAACCGCAGAAGTTTGAAATTAATTAATCGTCTCGGGAAAGGTATTTCATAATATTGCCCCCGTAAATAGATTTATAATAATATGAAATGTTAAAAACACTTAAGTGAAGGCTCAATTAGAAATGTTCGAGATGGAAAAACCTGGAGGAATGGTGAGTCCAATCGTAGTAATGAAATTGTAACAAGAAGTTAGTAGCTTGATGGTATTTGAAATACTTCATCATTAATTGATTTCAGCCTGAATATAACAGGAATAGTTTAAAATGCATTTTAAATACAGTATACATGATAACCCTACAGAAAGATGTTGTTCAATAACTAGATGGAATACACTCTTTAAGTTCAATTAAAAATGATCAACATAGCAGAATGATAGCAAAATTATAGTATAGCAGGTAAGAATTGAAATACATTTTAAATATACACCTTTATTATAAAGTAAGCAGTAACTGCCCTGAGATTTTATTCAGCAAGTAGGTTAAATCAATTTTTAAGGAATAAAGAAATTCTAATGGATTCTGTTTAATTTACGTATATAACTCATTATAATATCTATGTTAATAACTTGTATAATAACATGTTATAACTTGTTCTTAATTTAACTTTACATAGTATGCATGCTTCATAAGAGAGTGGATTTATAATGTGCAACATTTTTTTGTTAACTTGCAAACATAACTATTCCTATTAAGAAAATATATTAAGTAAGCTAACTGAATGGTATTCGTTCTTTAACATCTTTTTAGTTTGGCAGCATTTCTTTTATTGCTATTAAAAGGAGGGGAATTTATTCTATTGGACTGTAAGCTAGTTCATAAGAAAGAAATAAAAAATCTTTCTTCAACAGAAAAAGTGGTTTCAGTTATTTTTTGAATGTGCAAAAAAAATACAAATTAAAAACTACGTCCAGCTAACCATTCAGCTATAAAATTAAGAAAATCCATCAAAAAATTGCATAAATCAGTTTATGTCACAGAATTGTTTGTAAACCTTAGCTTAACCGTACACACCACTCAACAACATAAACAGTATTAAGGTTGTTGTGTGAAACATTCCTTGTTGCGTGCGTTCCTGGTGTACAAGGGGTCGATTCAGCACATAACTTCGGGTTAATGATTTGTTCAAAGATCAAGATCAAACCAATTACGGTTATTTCAAGCAACCTTTAATTTTAAAGCTTCTTTTATAGTTTCTTATACTTATTTTTTTTCTGTTAATAATTTTGGAAGTAATTAACGAAACAATAAAAGTAATACACTAACTGTCGCATTATTATGTAATATCATCTGATTAAATATGCTGAACTATAATATAAACTGATTTATAAGTAATCATATAAACCTAAGAGGAACAAGCATATGAGTAGGGAACGTTTGGTTTTTATGTACAAATTACAGCTAGGGAGATAATTGTGATAGCATTTAACTGAAATATGACATTACCTTAAATCTGGGAAAATCGCATCGTTCCGTTTGGACTCTGTAACAAAAAAATAGTTTGAATCACAAAATGTCTATTAATAGCAGATTTTCAGTTTCTAACACAATCCAAATCGAGCTAAATTGGTTTAATAGCATAACATTTACGTAGAGAAATAATCTGTTATCGTTAGTATATAAAAAATTTTGTATTAGTAAAAATATACTATATTTATAAATTATAGTTTTTAAACTAGCCTATAGGAATTGAATGGGTTGCAGAAAATCTTTCAATATTTTCCTAGATTCTCTGTTGACAACAGTCAATTAAATAAAGTACTTTTCAAGCAAATATATTAAATTAAAATCAGTGATAATAGTCTTTTGCATTTAACATGGAAAGTTCTTCTAGCTTAGAACTTCCTTTTTTTTTAAACTTGTATAAATTTTACTATTTTACAGAATTTTTTTATATTTGATTTTCTTAATTTATTTTCAATAAAACTCCTCTAGAAAGTAAATTAAATTATCTTGCTCATTATAAAGAACAGAATTTTGAGAAAATGTAATGGGAAAAGTTTAAGCTTTCCAAATTCAATTGGTAAAAGTTAAATTGTGGTTTTATTGATCCGTTTTAGCAAAGAAAATGTTCTTATGAATTCAAATGGTCTAGTAATCCTTTAAAGCTATCTTAGCAAAGTGATGTTAAGTTATTTTAAAAATTTATAATTGAATCTTAGAACTGTTTCTATTGTACAAAGAATTTATGTAATACTAGCAGAGTACCTAGCCTTCGTACGGTATATAATACTAGCAGAGTACCCGTCCTTCATACGGTATATAATACTAGCAGAGTACCCGTCCTTCGTACGGTATATGTTGAAACAGCTGACAAAATTATTTTATTCCTTTTAAATATGAATACTCATAAGGTTGACATGGTTAACTCCAGAGCCACTGGGGTGGAGCCCGAAAGGATTTTTGAGATAATAATATGTCTATATGTTAATTGGGATTGTTGGCTATCATCACACTAAATTTCTGCCCAATCCGACCAGTATTTTTCGCGTTCCCTTCTCACAAACATCCATCCATACATCCATTCATCCATACATCCAAACTTTCTCACTTAAATAATACATAGTAAAGATGAGTTAAGTTTATGCATTAAGTTTTTTATAATTTAAAATTTATAAAACATTAAATTTCAACCGAACAATTTAAAAAATTGTTCTGGTTTTATAATTTAATCTACTATCAGATCAGAGAAATGACAGATGTTATCTGCAGTAAGGAACATAAAACATCTTTGCAATATTGTGTTTAAGCAATCTGGTAATAGTACAATAAAATACTGTATAATATTTTTAATGAAAAAATAATATTCTTCAGGTTTTTAGATTTTGCTGTTCGTCAAAAATATGTTACAAAAGTATGATTTTATTGAAGGAACAGTATAATTTTAACAAAACCAAAAACATTATCGCATTTTAATATCTGCAACTACTCTTGCTAATTAGTTATTGAGCATTTGATCGGATCACAAGATTACATTACAATGACATTTTGTTCACAGGAGACTTAAAGTAATAAGATCTTTCTAGTTAATAAATCAATAAAAAGATCTTCAAAGCTGGAAGGAATCTAAACTGATATATTGGTGATATTGCAGTGATATTGCTTTGGCTCAAATATCTAGAAGCTTTTGATTGCTATTGAGAACATATCAACTTTCATGTTTAAAGTAAGTACTTCGCATTATAAGCAGCTTAGGATCTTTGCAAAACCTTGCAAAACGTTCAAATGTGTTTTAAATTTATTTAAAAGTTTAAAATTCTGATGTTCAATCAAATGTTTATGTTAAAATTACAAATTCAAATTTACTACAAAATGTGGTAATATCTGCCAAAGAACCAATAGTTATCGCTGTCAATGTCTGTTTGGCCCTTCGGATAACAAATTTAAATTCTTTTTACGAACTATTTCTTTGTATCATCAAAGTGTTTGTGTTATCTTAAATGTATTTGTAATATATTTTTCGCTGTCAATAAGTTTAAAAAGGCACATTCCAAAATATATTATTGACAAGAATATAGACTAGACGTGCAGATTACATAAGCTGTTGTAAAACGAATTTACCTGAATTCTGGTTGGTAATAAAGTATTATTATTATTTGCATATTATTTACTACTGAATTTTCGTAAAATATATTTGTTAAGACAACAATATTTTTTATGACAGACTGCGCTTTTCGGAATGTAAATACATATACAAAAATATCCTTTATCACCAAAAGTCCACGTCTATTATAATAGTAAAAGTAGAATTTTGTATTATGCACCTTCTTTAAATGATTGTTCTAAACTTGTTTTCTATAATTGTAGAGCATACTTGCTTTTTTTATAAAAACCCTGTAAATATTTCAGTGTTAACTCTTCCTACAGCATTACGATACCCAAAAACAAAAAAAATCTACAAACTAAATTAAACAAAAAACTCTTACTTAAGCTAGCCAGTCACCGCACAAAAAACCAACTTCTTAACCTCAAAGGGAATTGATGCGATATCTTCTACATATTACAAGACATCACTTCAGCCAAACTTGTCTCAAATTAGTTCACCACTCCATTAACTTGGGACCACTTGGGTAGTCAATTGTTACAACCTCTACTGTAGTCACTCGTAGCAGTTTGCTTGATTGTAAGACATTTGAGGTGTAACAAAACATTACTTTAACTAAAGTTGTGTTTGTCGAATTGGACAACTCGACCACCCAATTTAACTTTGGCATTTTTCGTTTGATAATTTTTGTGACAATTCTTCTTATATGTATCAAACCCATTTTAAGTGGATTGTTTTTACTTTTCACTAATTGTATATTCATATTATATTGACTTATCACACACATTACTTATACCTTATAGGCTAGGCCATATTAATTTTCGATTTTGGTTCATACACATCACCAGGACAAGGACAGTTTTCCTGTTATCTTCAATGACGTGTTCTTTTTGTTACATTGATAAAGATGAAAGGAGCTATGGTAACAAAAGGTCGTTGAGTTTGCACCTCCTAAAGAATATATGCCACAAACAGGAAAATATCAGAAGTCCAAAGTATGAGTTATTTTTGAGAAGGTAAAATATTACCTTTAAATATACTTACTGGTTATTTAACAGTATATATTAGATTAGTTTTTTTACAACCTTAAAACTCTTGATCGAGTAATTTTTCTTCTGTTAGAATTAAAAAAAACCCTAGGTTGAGTATGATGGAACAAGGAAACGTGTTGTAACAGAACTTTAGGAATACCTTCATATTATTAAAAAGGCTATTGCGGAAATATTCCATCATCATTAACAAAAACAAAGTTTTCAGATTTTTATTTTTTCCCTAAACGTGAGGGAAAATAGCTGCGATAATTTCTTATATAATAATTATGAATTTACCATCCTCGAAATGACTTGAAGCAAAGAAACTATTTCTTTTTTGACAGCTTCATAAAAATATTTGGCGTCCCATTTGTAGTTTTTTTTCTATTATTTTTTCTTGTAACTCTAATATTTAACGTTTTAAATTGGTTATATATAATGCAAAAGTAAGATTTAAGTATTAAAACATGTTTAAAAGAATTACGAAACAAAATATTAAATATGATTTAATTAGGATCTGTATATATTACATAATTTTAATTTATTAAAGAGCTTTAATAAGTGAAAAAATACAAATCATGAGTTTTGAAGCTAGATCATTCAAAGGTAAGCTTAGAACATGCCATTAGTGCTAACAATTAAATATCGTTGTTTGATAACGAAAATGATTTCCTATTAAGTATTTCCACAAACATTTTATAACCATGTATTAACTTTGTAAACACTACTCTTTTAGGCTTTTTAGTTCATCAATAAAAAAGGACAATGCTTCGTTATGACTTCTTTTATGATATATGAAGTGCAGAGGGAAAACAATAAAACAATAACACAATAGTATAGACAATAAAACACATATTGGCTTACACGGCAAGCATTCATCAATGTTCTACTGTCTGAACATAAAATTGTGCAATTCTTTTATGGACAATGCCTCACATTGTTTTTCCAAATTATCAAAAAGTGATAATCGAAAGAATTTATTGTACTGGATATTATCGGTGCTTCAGAACAAATCTATCCGATTTTATAGAAAACTAAGAAGAAAGAAGACTTTAAATTTAAACTAAAAAATGCAAGGAGTTTTAAGATATATTTATTTATTTAAATACTAAAATGTATGAACCATCATTATTTTGACAGATCAAATAAACAAAACTATTACAATTACATGATCAATGGAAATCCAATTTAATCAAGCAAATATTACAATTATGATTAAATGTTAAGTATCAAAAAAATCTTATAGGATAATGGGATTTAAAATATAATTAAAGTGCAATGACATTTTGGAGTCCCATAATTGTCATCTTTAACAAAAATATAATATATGATAGCAAAATAATATTCTTTTTTTACAAATATAATCTGTAAACTATTATATCCTTTTACATTGCAAAAATTATGAACACGTTCTAAATTGTACATTTGACATTAATCTTATAACTTTCAACATAAAAGCGAGAATGTTCACAGTTACCTTGTAAAGAAACAATGAGACAACTGACAAAATACCCTGACTGTTCTCTGATAAACTTTACATTTTCCTTTTAAAACACTTGGGCTGCATTGTTATGCTGTATTGTTTGAATTTATTCCAGGTTAGTGTTTGGGGTAAATTATCATAACAATAATAATTACTTTATTCTCAGGAAGAAATCATTGTTTAACAAAACGAGTTACTGTCTACAGGGGACTTTTCGGCCACCCAGTATATATCAAAATACCCCGCAGCAAACCTGCATAACAAATTTCCGTTTGCCTGAATTAATTTTAAATGAAATCTATTTAAATAACATTTTAGGTTTAACGAGTACCTAGGTTTGAAGCTACAATGATGCTAATTAAGTGGGTTTTTAGTAAAATATTAGTAGATTAGTATAAAATTAAATAAACTGCCAAGTTTGATTA